TTTTTTCTTCGAGTTTTGTTAAGATCTAAAATATTTCACCAACTAGTGCAATCTCAATAAATGCATTCTAAATCCTATTAGCTATACTGGTTATACTGTTATTATTAGTATTATGACTTTTAATAATAGTATAATTTTATCATCATTATTATTACTATATGTATATAATATGAATATAATTCATGGGTGGGGGTTTACACAACACAAGGAAGCTTAATTTAAATTGTTTAAATAAAGGGAAAAGTTTTTAAATGGGTCTAACACTAGTATTCAGAAACCAAGTGAAGTAATCAAATGGGAAACAATACATAGGCTATTAATCCGGATTCATTTAACAAAATGAATGACAGACATATGGCTGCTGTCACTTTAGAGCTAGTGCACAAATCCTGTGTTCATTATACTGGCATGCGTTTTATGCTTCTTAAAGACAACACCGACTATGTTTAGAGTACTTACGAAGACTGAAATGGACACAATTTTGTGTGTTAAAGCAATATAATCCGCGAAAACCCTTAACGATCTGTTCCTGATCAAGGGAATCTACTTCAGGACCCTTCTTCTGTGATTCATCCTGCAGATTTCTGAATCATGTATGCCACTGCAGCCGAGTATTTAATGAGAAACCATTTTAGTATCGTCAGTTCGAAACGATTATGAGCCGGCTGTTAGTCACTTTGTGCGCAAAACTATAGTCACTCATTCCTGGTTGATATCATGATATTACTGTGCAAACTGCTGCCTGTCCTTTCAGATGTTACAGCGGTTGTCCTCTGTCCATTTAATGGGAAAGTTGTGTAGCTCTTCCATTTGGATCCGGAATAATTGATGTTTCTGCAGAGCAAGTGCCAACTGTTATTTATTTGATTTACCCCTCCCACTCAGCAACATCCTCTGAGGTTTCTTTTTATATTGAGTGTCAAAATGGAAAAAAAGCCTTCCTGCTTCATCTTCCTCTATGTGTATGTCTGCCCATCTGTTTATCTTCTCACGAGATCTTTGCACATTACCTGGGCCGTGTCAAAAAAGTCTGAAATGCATGTGAAATCTGCGATGCTTGTGTTTGTACGTTTGTGTCTTCTTTGTGACGAGAAGGTTCCCACGGGGACTGCAGATGATTGACAGTTGTATTGGTAAAACCATCCACGACAGCAAATCAGAGCGATCGTGATGAAGACAACCCGGCTTTATAGTGACATTTCTGTCGTCCTGAGAGCGAGCGGGAGAACGAGAGGGACAAAGTCTAGAGGCTTCAGTGTCCTGGCTGAACCTCAGACAGACATATTAAATGACATTCATAAATGACGTTCCACAGCTGCAGAATCAATACAGCAAATGACAAAAACAATGTGGCTGGGGGAAAACACACTAGCCAGTATTACACTTTGAACCCTTTTTAATCTTTCCCCCATGGCTTTCAACAAAGATGGCCTTCTTTGTGTTTGTGTGTGTGACATTGTGATGGCTTGAGGGAGCATATCACATGAACCTTGTTTTGTGTTCTCTTGGTAATTGCTAGAAGATTTTATCAAACGAGAAAAGGGCAAACTCAAGACACTAACACCAACCTCCAATGGGATTCTTAAAGGGATAGTTCACTTTGAAATTAAGTTTTGATATATTTTAGCTTACCTCAAGGGCATCCAAGATGTAGGTGTCTTTGTTTCCACAGTATTTTGATATTTTTCGGTCAAACCGTTGTTGTTTGTCAGTCATATAATGCAGGTTTAGGGGGTCCACCTCAAAGAGCATGCACAGAGAAGTCCAAATTAAACATGATTTAATGACTCGTAAATGTAAGTACACATTGATGGCCTAAGACACGAAACGAGCGGTTTGTGTGAGAAAACGAAACAATATTTATATTGTTTTTACCTTGTGTAACCACAGCTATGTCCAACTGATCTGAAGGCACGGGCGCTTCGGTCTGCGCATGCCCTTGAGGTAAGCTAAAACATATCAAAAATTAATTTCAAAGTGAACTATCCCTTTAAATTGCCTTAGAACAGGGGGTTTGGGAGCCCCAGGGGAATTTAAGGAGGTCCATGAAGAGGTTCAGAGAAAAAAAAACACAATTGAATATCCATATAAATACAAATTATTATAATATTTATTTATAAATGAATAAAATGAATAAATGGGTAAAAAAAGGATACAGATGTGTAAATATTTTTTTCAGATAATATTGTACGCATTCCTACACTTATATTCACATATAGATTATTATTATTATGTAATTAGTTAGGAAATGGGTCCCTCGCACAAGAATGATCATATTTCGGGGGGTCGGTGGTGCTAAAATCTGTGAAAACCCCTGCCTTTCAAACAATACGAAATAAATGCTTTAGTACATGAGCATGTTGCTCGTTTTCTAGTATAGTAGGCTATAGATCAAAGTTCTATATTATCACTGTATTATATGGTAATGTCCCAACACTGTATTTTTGTAAGGGTATATAAGCTTTTATGTAACGGGACAGATGTTTACCCTTTCAGCTTTTAATGTTTAAATTCATATGTCATGCCTTTGACGGATTACTGCATTCAAGGTGCCCCCTTCCCCACTCAAAATCAATCTTGTGATCGTGCGTATAAACTCAAATTAGTATCATGTGGCGTTTTAGAACTACTCTCCCTGTAGACGTCAAACTCTTTTTGATGTTTATTTAAAGAGGCTAGCATTAGCGTTAGCAGAGGCAAAGGCGTTGAAAGGTTGTTGAGAGACTAGCACCGAATTTTAACAGATTTGCCTGCATTATTTGGGCACTTTGTTACATAACTGCTCTCTTTCTCCCAGCGTAGAGCTGAGCCACTCCATCCCTTTAATCACAGACAGACTCAATGTACCGGGAAACTGTGTCGTTCACACGTATATGTCGCTGGAGGTCGCGGAGTGGCTGTATTGTTAAGCCACGATGTCCAGTTGAATCATGCGGATCACTGTCTGCAGTCTCATTGGTAGTCGCCGCATTGCGTCACTGCTCATTTGCCCTGCTCTATTTTGTTACATCAGTGACTGTCTATGTCTCTCATGACTCTGGTAATCACCAGCTCTCATTGATAATTCATGATGTTCGGTCATTTTAGTGCTGTCAGTGTACATGCCTCTTTAGTCGTAATGGGTGTTCCTACTGCTGGATGACCTGATGTTATTGGTGGTGTTGCAAAACTGGTCTTGTTTGGTTTTAGTTATAGTTGTGTTTCCCTATTGGTAGTATTTTTATATAAAGGTATATTACACTAGCCTGACTTCGTCATACTCATATTTTAATTTAGAATAGGGCTCCATATGGCTTTGATTATGAGGCGTGTCTTAACCTAACCAGGAAAAAAAAAACTCTGCACCCAATTGGATTGGTCGGTAGACCTACAACCAATCAGAGCAACACAGTAAGTCAACTACTTTGCATAGCACAGTTGTCAACTACAGAACTTACTTATTTTAGAAGTTAAATAACGAGTGTTGCTTCTTTTACTTGGTCCTCCATGAGTGCGACCAAAGGAGAAACCACAACGACCACAGGCTTTTCATTACGTCCCATCTTCTTAGCGACCGTCGGAGCCAGCTGATAAGTTACGCTTTTGCCGAATCATGTTGGAAGGACGGCAGAAATATATTTCCGATCGACAAATGCCTTGATTGCAGTTTTCTGTTCGTCTATTAAAATTAATGTGCTGTCGATTTATTTAACAACAGACGCGACAGCGGAATCTATACATCTCAATTCTCCAGCTGCAGCCATCTTTGAGGGAAACCAGTTAAGCGCTCTTTGATAGCGTGATGATTACGTCGCCGCAGATCATCTGTCCATCATCGTAAAAAAACCCGCCCTGTCAATCTGATTGGCCCGATCATTTTTTGACTGATCATAATTACACCTCAATGGATCGAGTCCAGACCGAACTTCCCGACCAAAAAATGTTGTGGGCGGTGTTCGGGCGGGCGTCCAGGCTAATATTTCACCCAAAAAATGAAAATTCTGTCATCACTTACTCGCCCTCAGTTTGTTCCAAGCTTTTATGAGTTTATTTGTTCTGTTGAATACATACAGTAGGATATTTTTTTAAGAATGTTGGAAACTAGACAGGTGACGGAAGCCATTTTACTTTTTGAAAGTATATTGTGTCCCTGCTATGGAAGCCAATGACATTGGCTACCATCAATTGTTTGATTACCAGCATTCTTTAAAATATCATCTTTAAAATATCAATATCACAGAACAAAAAAAAAAAAACTCATACAGGCAACTCTCATTGAAAATGACATTCCTAGCGCTTTATCACTAGGCTTTTTTTAATTTTTTTATTATTATTATTGGGAATTTGTGTAATGATTTAAATGTGAAGTCTGTAAGATTTGTTCGTGTAAAAATACATTCACTATCCATTGACTAATATTAGTTTTCCATTCATGGGTTTATCTTCTCCATAAGTAAATGGTAAGTGGACTGCATTTATATAGCGCTTTCATAGACCTCATGGCCACCAAAGCGCTTTACATTTTTGCCTCAAATTTACCCACTCATACACTCATTCATACACCGATGGCAGTGTCAGCCATAAGAAAAATCGTATTATATAAGGACATTGAAAGAATATCAGTCAGCTTCCGGTTGCTCTGTTGCTACATTACTGTTTTGATTATTAATTTGTGTTTTGGGCTGGTATCATCTTAAGTAGATTTGTTTAAATAACATATAAAGGAGCATTTTTGGGAAGAGATAGTGCTTGGTCTCTTCATAGTCGTCAGGAACATGTGCACCATGTAGCTCTGAAGGTTGCCTGTATTTGCAGTCGTCTTTCATTTTTGATCCACACTCTCAAATCGAAATGACAGGGTTGTCATGTTGTTGGAGCACTTGGAACTGAATGTGTGCTAGTTAAAAATATAAAGTGATACCACAGGGAATTGCAGTCATTGAATCAGAGCAAAGACTTCCCATATGCCAACTTTGTGGCATGGACTAATACCAACCCTCTCTCTCTCTCTTTCTCTCTAGGTGGCTCGATGGCCCGAAAAGGAAGAGAAAGAACAGCCAGTGTTCGGTGAAGAGCATGTCTGGTAAGATGTCTCGCATAAGACACTGATGCTCTTGCCTAGAGCTGCAGCAGTATATTCCTCCCAGAATACATCACTGACTACTCCTTTCTGAGAAACACTCAAGAAACCCTGAGGGAGAGGAGGGTTTTCAGTTGCCCCGTGATCCTCCTTGCATCAACTCCAGCATCAGTTCAGCTCAATAGACTTTTTGTTTTGTGATGTTCTGGTGGTACTCCTTCAGGACATTATAACTGATTTTAAAACTATCCTTCTCCCAGGCTAATTGGGCTGTGTAAGGATTGGCTTTGTATTCGTTTGTGTATGGGGTAGCTTTTCAGTCAAGGAAGTTCAATAAAGTTAGTCGTGATGTTAGTACATTATCAGGACTCCAGATCTTCTGCTTGGTTAGACCCATCAGTCCTGACCTCTTCACCTCATGTCCATAATAGCCAAATAAAGCAAGCCAGATTCATCCCAACATCCTCTTGAATCTTTAACCATTTAGTTTTCTAATGCTTGTGCTGTCACCGTCCTATGCTTAGGAAGAAAGATATTTCTATATTATGATGATACTTACAATTCCAAAATTATCTGGTGTTTTATTTTGTGCAAAGAATAAAAAAGAAAAAATAAATAAAGTTTTTATTTACCCCCATCTTTGCACCACCTGCTGGTGATGTTTGTAAATTTAAATGAAAGAAGTTACAATTTTTTATTCTCTTTTCACCTATTTTAGTTTTAAGAATGGTGTATCTGGGAAAAAAGCTTTTTTATCAATACTTTTATTCAGCAAAGATGCTTTGAATTGATCAAAAGTTACTGTAAAGACAATTACAATGTTTCAAAATGCCAAAAAAGCCTAAAAAAAGTATCACGGTTATTGTGAAATATTTCACAATATTACTGTTTTACTGTATTTTAGATCAAATAAATTCAGCCTTGGTTATCAAAAGATTTTCTTTCAAAAATCGTAACAACCCCAAACTTTTGAATGGTAGTGTATGTTTTTCAGCTTTGTATTGAGTGAAATAGTGGCCAATGGACTTTTTTCCCATTTACCGTAAGCTATAGCATGTTTTTCAAATAATAACCTTTATTTATGAAAGCCTTCACAAATTTGCTGTGTAGGCTCAGGCAGTTGACTAAACAAAAGGCAAGAGATTGTTCTTCCTGTCAGAAACACTGGCGGATCTTAATTGCTCTCAAGTGACACTCAGAGCTCTTCAGGGCTTTCACCAATCATGTTAACTCTAGGCCTTAAATAGATACTCCAATAAGGCTTTGTGAAATGATAAGTGTGTCATTTCTGCAGTAAAGCAGCTATAAATGAAATTTGAAATTGCAATATTTTCCTAACAGTTTCCAGTTCCAGTTCCCCAAAAAAAAATTTTTCTGATAATTTAGTCACCCCCATGTCATCCAAGATGTCCATGTCTTTCTTTCTTCAGTCGAAAAGAAATTAAAGTTTTTGATGAAAACATTCCAGGATTTTTCTCCATATAATGGAGACTTCAATGGGAACCAAACGGTTCAAGGTCTAAATGAGAGTTTCAGTGCGGATTCAAAGAGCTTTAAACGACACCAGATGATGAATAAGGGTCTTATCTAGGACCCTTCGGCTTCGAATCATGACTCCAAAAAAGATTTGTTCATTTTGATGAACACGTATGAAAAGGAGAGTCACGAACGCAAATCACAGAACAGAGCAAGCCGAGCATTTGTGCTTATAAAACTTAAACTTTGTTATTTATTTTTTTAAATGAGCGATCGTTTCGCTAGATAAGACCCTTATTCATCCTCTGGTGTCGTTGAAAGCCCTTTGAAGCTGCACTGAAACTCTCATTTGGACCTTGAACCATTTGGTTCCCATTGAAGTCCATTATATGGAGAAAATCCTGGAATGTTTTCATCAAAAACATTAATTTCTTATCGACTGAAGAAAGAAAGACATGGACATCTTGGATGACATGGAAAGTGGTAGTAAATTATCAGGAAAAGTTTTTTTTTTTTTTTTAAACTACTCCTTAAGTTGTTTCAACTTAAATTACATGAAATTGACTAAAACATTTGTTAATTCTTCAAAATTATAAAACAAAATTGCTTATTTTGATGAGCAAAATAAAGCAATATACAAACATTTCATCATAACCTATTTATGTATGCATGTATAATGTATGTATGTGTTGTATATATATTATATATAATATATAGATAGATAATATATAGATAGAGAGAAATGTATAGATAGATAATATAGAGATATATAGAGATAAATGTTGCTGACTTCTGGTTTCTCAGTATGTGCTTTGTCGTGTTAATGTACTTATTTGTTGGTAGTTGCTATCAGGTAAGAGTTGTTTTAATATATGTATTTCTTTATTTTGTATGGCAGGGTACATCCCCAGCTATCTGGAGAAGGATGAGCCATGTGTGGTGTGTGGAGACAAAGCTACAGGCTACCACTACCGCTGCATCACCTGTGAGGGCTGTAAGGTAGGACTTGTGCACAGTGACATGTGTTAACAAACACTTCGGCCCCACGTCTACTTGTACAGACTAGACTGTCACTTCTCGTAGAGTCATGATGTGGAGCTGGTCCAATCTTTTCAACAATACACCCTGTTGTCATTTTTGTAACTTAGACTCCTATCAATATCAAACCTGTCTAGCCTAAAATAAAACCCTGTCAACCATCTGATCCACTATCTGTCTCTCTTTATGTGAAGAGAGAGAATTGTGAGTGACAACTGCGCCGTGCAAGTCTTTGTGAGACCTGTCTAAACTTGTCTGATTTGAAGAGCTCTTAGAGTTTGCAGATCCCCTTACTGGAAAACAAAAGACGTTTGCTAAACATCTATCTAATTAGGGAGGTCAGCAACTTGCACATGCTCTGTGCGGTTATTTAATTTAATGTAATTTAATCATTTATGATCTTTTTTCTTTTGTTTTTTGTTAGGGTTTCCCTAAATAAGGGAATGTGTTCAAGAGCTTATTCTTTTTATTTCCTGTAGAATAAAATTTGTCATTAAGACTAGTTTGTATTGACCACTGAAATTTGAGCTTTTTGGCAACCCTACAGAAAACAAGACAACATTGTGGAAGATATTGTTAAGATAAGAGTTGGTAAGATATCATTGGCAAATAGTTGTTGCTTGCTTATTTTAAGCCTTCATCTACGCAACTATTAGGCTTCTTAATACAAGATACACATGTTCTCTTTCATATTTTCAACTTAATTCATGGAAGGATGGATATGGATATCTTCTCAAAAGGATATTTAGATATTTTTTTCAAGCAAAACTATACAAAAAGCCTATTTGTTCACTCCCAGGGATTCTTCAGACGCACCATCCAGAAGAACCTCCACCCCTCTTACTCCTGTAAATACGATGGCTGCTGCATTATCGACAAAATCACCCGCAACCAGTGCCAGCTGTGCCGCTTCAAGAAATGCATCGCTGTCGGCATGGCCATGGATCGTGAGTGACCTCACACACTCATGCAAATAACATACAAAATCATCGAACATGCAAAAACACACACACGGAGACATATAAAAACATGGGTCAGTACATGACTTTGCAAGTCAGTCTCACTGTCTTTCACTGATCTAAATAAGGAAAATAATTCAAAACGGAAGCATTTGAACTTCTACATCAGACATTTGTACCCCATTGTATTGGATCACGAATTCAGCCCTGCTCCTTCCATACACAAATGCATGCTGACATCGAAGGTACATTAATCCTATTCAAAGTGAAATGCTCAGTCCGGGGTTCCCCTTCTGTATGTCTATACATCTCACATATGTACAGCACATGTTCAACGCAAACCACATTTCTTCTTCCTCTGTCACTCCCTCTCTCTTTCTACTCTATAATGTTTTATGGATGTTTCTTGTTCCTTCTTTGATCCCTCTTCGATGTTCTTACTCGTTCTGTCACCGCCATTCTGCGCTGCAAAATCATTACTTTTGTTTTCCAGGAAACAAAACAGGTTTTCCATCCTTAAAATGAAAGATTTACTGGAAAAGCAAATTAAGAGGATCAGAACTTAATTGCACTGTGGTTTTATGCATCGTGAGAGTGGGAGAGTTAACCAATTTTTCTCTTTGGCGTAGTGGTTCTGGACGATTCCAAACGGGTTGCGAAGCGACGCTTGATTGAGGAGAACCGTGAGAAGCGGAAGAAGGAGGAGATGGTCAAGACCCTGCAGAACCGGCCAGAACCCACCAGCTCAGAGTGGGAGCTGATCCGTATGGTGACAGAAGCTCACCGCCACACCAATGCACAGGGCTCTCACTGGAAACAGAAACGCAAGTTCCTGGTAAGCAAGCACCTCGGGTGTCAGGCCAGTTTTGTTTGTATAACACAGGGTTGTTATTGTTTACTTAAACTGTAACTAATATTAGTTACCTGCACCGTGAATTGTTAAAAGGCTGCGATCTCAATTGAAACACCACACGATCTCATTCCTAATTGACAACGATTTGCCTGTGTCTGTTAACCAATTGACCAAATCACACCAGAACATGCAAATCTCTGTCGGTGCTGCCGCTTAGCCAGAGAGAACAGTCGTCATGTATAAGTATGAAACAGCTTCTCAGTCTTTTCAACATCACAGTATCGGTATTTCTGGTACAAATATTCATATTATTACAGAAGAACTGACAAAAGTTTATAGTTAAGGTATAAACACTGATGTACGGCGCTTGATATGGCGCTTCAAATAAATGATTATATCAATTATATTGTACACCACCAGGTGGCGATAAGTGACTGTTAAAAAAAATTCATTGAATCATTCATTCAAGAGATTTGTTCAAAACGCTGATTCATCCACTAATGAATCAAGTGAAGTCTTTATGAGTGAGTCTTTGAATCATTTATTCAAACCGATTTTTTTATATAATTCATTCAGATTAATGGGCTCTATGCATGGCGGTATTTGCGGTGAAGGTGTAAGGATGCTCGATAACTTCCGCCGATCGTAGAGTCCAATGCAATACCGAGAATTTATATTGAATTTTATACTCCATGGTTATACTAATGAAACGTTAGTCACAAAAACAGATAAAACAGACACCCCTCGTTGTGTTTATGCTTCTTTTTAAAATTATATTAAATAAACATAACTATATATAAAATTACATCTAAACGTATGTACGTTTCGTTTCAAAGACGGGAGGAAAGTAAATTTTGAAGACTCTGCCATAATCCCGTTTTCCTCAGCTTAAATCTCCACAACCGGAAATGGACGAGCATCCTTGCGTCAAATGCGGAACTTATGCGTGCATATAACCCATTAAACATTTTAAATAGACTGTAATTAACGTTTTGTCTGAACCTCTAGTAAATTACGTTTTCGGTAATACAAGCTGTAATAAAATACAATTTAAATATGTGAAAAACAAAAACGAAAGTGTTGCACTGGCAAGTAACTGAAATATATAATGTTAAGCTGATGGGATAAAAATTACTAAAACTAAAACTGAAATAAAAATATGTTTAAAGCTATCTAGGAATTATATATACTATAAATAGTTTATATATAGGCATACACATATGCTTTGTTGTGCTTTTGTTATTATATATAAATGTATATATTAAATAACAAAAGCACAACAAAGTACTAAAAACCTAAAAGCAAATTCAAAATCTTAATAAATATTATAATAGTATATAAATAATTCTAATGACACTGGTATTACGTTTACCACAATACGTTCAGCTTGAAAGCAGCTTTGCAGAAAATAGTAGCTTCCCATATATTTCCATATAATAGTAGATGTCTACACATAAATCTTACATGTTTAGGTACTGTAGCTGAATTAAACTTCATTTTATTTTATTTGTGTGCATTTATTTTATTTCTGTCCGTCTGCTCACTACATTTTGTTTTAGCTTAGCGCATTGCTATAGCCTTATCTGTCAGTGCAGATTAGCTTTTGTTTACACAGCTTGCTAATCAATTTAATGAGTGACAATACCAGTCTGCAAATATCAGTTGTGACCAGGCGACAGCGAGTGCTAAAACAACTGGCAGGTATAACTGGAATGTATCCATGAAGGGCCTTTGTAAAAGCATCTCTGTTTATGAAGAAGGAAGGAAAGAGGAAGGAAAGAGTTTAGATGGTGTTTATCGCTCATTCTCTCAGACAGTAATCTAGGCTACTGTGAAAGGTGGCAGGATAAAGGAGGAGAAAATGGAAAGAGAGTTTAGGAGAGAGACACAGGATATTTCCCAAAGTTTAATGGGCTGCCTACCAAACGTCTAGTGGGTTATCTGTCCTGAAAGACAAGTCGATCTTAAATAGGGAGTGACTTACTTAGCTTTATGACTTTTTTTTCTTTCTCTGTTTTGTGTGTCCATTACAATGATTTGGACCCCAATGACTTTAATTGAATGGCCAAAAAACAGTTCTTCAAACATTATTTAAATAGGCTCACTTAAAACATGGCATCAGAACATGTCTTACTAGGAGGTTGGAGACTCTCCATCATAGAAACCAAAGTAGGTTTTCTTAGCCCACCAAACACCCAGTCATTAAGAGCACTATCAAAGCCCTGACGCACACCAATCTAAACATTCGGCTTGTACTAGACCCTGTTACGATCATCCACAGGGGACAGAGAAACCACTTCCTCGGCCGGCTCTGAACTCCTGTGAAACGGCTCATAAAGAATTCAGCCTGTATAACCTTTACTACCAAGATATGCCTCCAATAACAGTGCAAGGCCGAGACCCAGAGTGACCCCGATAAACTGCACTCTCTTTCTCCATGGGAACACTCACTCCGTCCTTTCGGTAGTCCAACTGGGCTGTCTTAAGATCTCTGTAGTGAGAAAGCGCGGTGCCAAGTTCTCAGCAGTGAGAAGGCCAGGGTGGACCAGCAGAGGGGATCGTTTACACTGGGGTCTTACAAGCGTTTGGGACGCATCCAAGGCCTGCGCTACCCCCACCTCCTGGAAGAAGACACACACACACAAACTTTGGCTCATGCTTGTTAAAACTTACACAAATACACCAGTGCGGCACAGTTAAAAAGTCCCGTCCATCTGAGACAGCGTAAGCACAAACACACAAATCCCAAGTTCCTCAGAGGCACATTCTGAATCGCTGAATAGATTCTTTTGCGTTTTATTCACTTTTATTCACTATTAAACATAGCCTCGGTCTGTGCTTTAGTTTCTGATCTGCATGTCACATGAAGGCTTCCTAGCAGCTTTAACGCTAATAAACGAAAAAAAAAATTAATATGAGTAATTTTGTCTGTCACAGCAATGTCCTGAGCCTTGTTTGTTCTCACAACCTCACAATGAAACAAAATAAAGCTTGTGTGTAGGCCAGCACTGCGCTTTTTTTCTGCCGTTTTGTGTTGATTTCAGTGTCTTTGTTTATTTCAGTCTGTTTGCTTTACCAGAAACAAAGAAACAAATGCGATTGCACAGTTTGAGGTCTTTAGGACTGTCGCTGTTGTGTTGCAAGGGGTGGTGTCCACCAAATTTATCCCCATAAAGGGATGGACATGGTCAGAAACAATGCTCAGGTAGGCCGTGGCATTTAAACAATGCCCAAATGGCACTAAGGGGCCCAAAGTATGCCAAGAAAACATCCCCCACAGCATTACACCACCACCACCAGCCTGCACAGTGGTAACAAGCATGATGGATCCATGTTCTCATTCTGTTTACACCAAATTTGGACTACAATCTGAATGTCTCAACAGAAATCGAGACCAGGCAACATTTTTCCAGTCTTCAACTGTCCAATTTTGCTGAGCTCTTGCAAATTGTAGCCTCTTTTTCCTATTTGTAGTAGCGATGAGTGGTACCCGGTGGGGTCTTCTGCTGTTGTAGCCCATCCGCCTCAAGATTGTGCGTGTTGTGGCTTCACAAATGCTTTGCTGCATACCTCGGTTGTAACGAGTGGTTATTTTAGTCAAAGTTGCTCTTCTATCAGCTTGAATCAGTCGGCCCATTCTCCTCTGACCTCTAGCATCAACAAGGCATTTTCGCCCACAGGACTGCTGCATACTGGATGTTTTACCCTTTTCACACCATTCGTTGTAAACCCTAGAAATGCTTGTGCGTTTGATTGTGAAATACTCAGACCGGCCCATCTGGCACCAACAACCATGCCCCGCTCAAAATTGCTTAAATCACCTTTCTTTCCCATTCTGACATTCAGTTTGGAGTTCAGGAAATTTTGTCTTGACCAGGACCACACCCCTAATGCATTGAAGCAACTGCCATGTGATTGGTTGATTAGATATTGAATATAGAATTGCATTAATGAGAATTTGAACTGGTGTTTATAATAATCCTTTAGGTGAGTTTATATATATATAATGTATGGACCCATACAACCTGCCACAGAATGGATGAAAGACCCGACGCACTACCACGTTTCACATACCCTGACATAGTCAATTACCTGGTTTTTGGTATCCGTCCCTAACGTTGCTTCCTACACAATGCAAGAGTTCAGAAGCTTTAAGTCATTAGAAGCTTATGAATAATTCTGCTGTGGATGGGTGCAAGACTTAGAAACCCCCAAACCTGTAACGTTAAACTGCGAGAGTTCAGTCACAATTGATGTTTCAGGCCTCATTCATATATTGAAATAAATCTAATTGGAATCAGATATGTGCATTTGAACTAGAGCCCGACCGATAAAGGATTTTGAAGGCCGATACCGATACAAATATTTTTGTGCTTTAAAATCCGATATTCCGATATATCGGCCGATATTATTTTTTTATTATTAAATATTTTTGGATTTCACACAGGTGTAAAAGAAAAGCTAACTTTTCTGCACAAGTTACGTTTGATACTTTTTCTCTATATCTAAATGTTCACTCCTCGCAAGTATAACTTACATTTTACAATGCTGGGACTGTAACTAGAGATATGCTAGCTATAAATACAAATCATTACTTTATTTAGGCAGAAAAAGTTCATTGTGGTTTCCAAGCTCATTAATGTTAACGTTAGCGGTCTTCCACTGATGATATTGGCATTAGCTTGCTTTGTGGTTAGCTAGTCTATAGATATATGATATGATGAGCCATAATTTAGCAATAGATAACATCATACTGCAAGTTGTAAAACATACATTTTCAATATAACAGGCCAAGGAGAGATGATTGAAGCGTGTTTCGTCCGTTTTATTTAATTTTTTTAAGTATTCATTTATTGGCCATTATAATGGCCGATACCGATATTATGGAAAATGCCTAATATCGGCCGATAATATCGGCCGGCCGATATATTGGTCTGGCTCTAATTTGAACCTACCGTGCAACGCTAAGCGGACGGATCGGACATTCCCCTGTCAATCCGAGTTGTAAAAAAAGTGTCTTTTTAAAACATTTTTGTGGGACAGATAATCTATAACAAATTAAACAACTTTAGTTGAAAAACAGAGTATTCATTTTGTTTGTTTGTGTTAAATAAAAGGCGAACTGTGCTGAAATGTGTTGCTTTTGGAATCACGCTTTGCTCGCTGTTGCTGCTGTCAGTTTATTGACAAGCAGTTTCTCTAAATAAAACTGGCTAGCATTGTTATTTAGTGTCTCCCGATATAAGCCCTTTCATTGCTCTTCCTTCTCCATATCTTCCATAGAAACTGCGGCGTATCGCTAAAATGTAAACAAATACTAAGCTGCACTGTCTCTCTTTCACTATTTCTGGAATGTTTAGTCACGCCTCTGTGAAGTTCTGAAGGCGTTGCTCCTGGCAACCGATAGGGTCTCCTGCCATCATGGCCGACTGGCTCAGACCCCGCCCAAATCGCCATGTGATTCCTCACTCTCAATCACTTATTTCATTCCTGTGAATCTATTCACTTGTTATTCTTACATGTCAGTGGTATTGAATGCAGTCCATAAATCATAGCCGCATTGAAAAAATATATCTGCAACAGCCAACATGTAATGCTGTAATTGCAGCTCTGTCTCTTGAGGACTTATAATTACCTCTATTCTGACTTGTGTAACACACATCTTACTGCATACATAGAATGTTGCTCCAGATGCCAGAGCTACTTGGCTGTTTGTCCAGAGTTTTTACATGGCTGACCTCAAATCCACCCTGAGGACACCAAACACTGTGGTTTTCCAAGGCTATCAGGCTACATAACTGCAAAGCCAGAGCCCGCACATGTATCTCATACTCATCTGTATATTCATTCATTTATTCTTCAATGGAAATACATTGTCACAGTTAACCCTCTGTGAATCTGTCCGTGTCTGCAGCCGGAAGACATCGGACAGTCTCCGGTGGTTCCCACATCAGATGGTGACAAAGTGGATTTGGAGGCCTTCAGCGAGTTTACCAAGATCATCACCCCAGCCATCACACGTGTTGTTGACTTTGCCAAAAAACTGCCCATGTTTTCAGAGGTGAGAGTGCTGTTAGGTTTTGTTTTTATTTTTTTATTTTTTTTATTTTTATTTTGGAACTGTTTAAAGTGTTTTTGTCAATGCCGGTCCTAGACTTCTGGGGGCCCTAAGCAAAACTTTTAAGGTGACCCTGTCAGTGATAACACCGAACCCCTTAATTTGTTCTTTCAGAGGAGTTTCACTATCAACAATCAATAGTTGATCTTAGTGAGAATGACAAACAATAGGAAAAAAAGATACAAACAAATTAAACATAGCCTTTTAAAAATAAAAGCCTCTTATACAGAAATTGATTAAATCAAATCAAAATACTACATAGTCTTCACTGTATGACTATGAATTAATATATAGTTAGATTTTTATTAAAGTTACTAAAGTTATTCAGTGTTATTTTATTAAAGTTACTAAAGTTATTCAGTGTTAAAGTTATTCAAAGTTATTTATATATACAATAAGCAGAATACTGGCAAAAAAAAAAGTGGAGATAGGGTTAGAAAGCATGAAGCTCATGGTGTCACATGCCAGTCTGTCTGTTAGGTCTCAGATAGTCTGACGGCAGATGAAAATAAACAGTAAATGAATTAATTTCACGTGATTCGTTACAAAAGTGGGCATCAAACATGCTAAACACGAAAGCTGGAACGTATGTGTGATGCGCTAGAACACACCACTCATGTGTCAGGCATGCACTTTTTAACTTCTTGTCCTTTTAATGGCGGTTGGCACATCCATTTGAAGGTACATAACGCCACCTATTGCACGGCATCTCTGGTTATTTGAAATTGGTGCCAAATTGTTCAGCTGATGAAACAATAACACATATTTTGGGAATGTGTCAGTTATTGGTGGATTTTTTTATGTATTTCTAACTGTACAATTAGGATGAATTGTACAGTTGTGGCTTTGCGTTTATGCGATATTGCCACATTACATCATTCATAGCTATGTGGTATTCTCTCCATATTTCACATTCACCATCTTTCCTTTAACCGCAAGTGTGAACATTCTTGCATAGTAGACTACACAGCACCCTTATGGCAGAATATTTATTATTGTCTACACAATAAATTTCCTGTCATCCACTACCTCTCAGTCTATTTTGTACTTTGAGCGTTATGCATCCTGTATTTTCCAGACTTTGAGACAATATCTTCCAGACAATACACCTAGACTGCCTATAATACAAAAAAAAAACACTGAACACTACCTTGTTGCTTTTGTAATTGATGTGAAATGTTTTATACAGTATATCAGTGTAAATGTTACTTGTGAAGAACATGTATTTGACCGTTAAGACAAAAGCTTGTCTGTGTTCCACACGGAAAGCATCCTGTCGGTAGCGGATTTAGTTATCTTTTGCAGTTTTTAATATATATATTAATATATATATTTAATAAGAAAGAACATCCCACTCTTTAATTCGTCATTCATCCATTTAGGTATTAATAACCTCAAAGAGTCCCGTCCACTGAAAGCTGTGCGGATTAAATGTCTCTGCGACAAAAGCAAAATCACCTGGTGAAATATTTCAAAATGTCTCTTGAAACAGCAGAGCACCAGTGCCACAGAAGGTTTCAGGTTACTGTTAGCATATGTCATTATGTATCATCATGTGATTTCTGATTTCTGTAGCTGCCTTGTGAGGATCAGATCATCCTGCTGAAGGGCTGCTGTATGGAGATTATGTCCCTACGAGCCGCTGTTCGATACGACCCAGAAAGCGAGACCCTGACCCTGAGCGGAGAGATGGCCGTCAAACGAGAGCAGCTCAAGAATGGAGGGCTGGGCGTTGTGTCTGACGCCATCTTTGACTTGGGCAAGAGTCTGGCTCAGTTCACCCTGGATGACACAGAGGTGGCCCTGCTGCAGGCCGTCCTGCTCATGAGCTCAGGTGAGAGAGGACAGTGATCCTGCTCATATATCAAAATTATTCTTTGTGAGAGAAATCTCAAAACTGGATCAGCAGCAAGAAGACACCAAACGGATTTGTGATCAGTGCAAGGCTCTGATTCTTAAGCTAGTGAGCTACCTTGCTGTCTTCCATGGGAACATGATCGAAACTCGAAATAGAACTCAGGGATCAAAGCTAAGGATTGAGCCCTAACAGTTCTTCTTTAGATAAAGCATGTTCAAGAGAATTCATCAAACCGGTAACAGGCGGGTTCTGGAAGTAAAAACCCTAATCATTTTCTCCATCGAAAACTTATTTTAGGACTATATGTATAGACCTTATGCACCAGAGAAACGTGGGCGCCGTCATCTTTAGAATATTGTCTTTGAACTTCCGGTTTTGCGGTCGCTCTGTATATTTCTATGGCATCGCTGTCGAGGAGTAATTAGCTTGTGAAGTGGATTTACTTATTGTAGAGTTAACAAAAGTTATCATGAGCATTGTAATGTTTATCATAAGCATTGTAAAGCAGATGTCTTAACAAATGACGAGCAGTTCATTCATAGCTATGCAAGATCGCTGTCAAAATACAGACCGGAAGTCAAAAGACAACGAGCGCAGCGCTGAAAAGGGGCGGGGCTACATAAGGTCTATACTGTTATAATTTGTATTCATATTTTTGAATTAGCTATTTCTTTTGTTATTTATTTGAGTGGCATTTTGTTCTTTTTTTTTTCCTATACTTAACATTACTTATGCTTTATTTCAGTTACCGAAAGCTTTTACTATTTTTATTAGTTTTGGTTTTGGAACATGGTATTTGGTGAATATTGTAGTGGTAGATCCATACAAAAGTATATGAAACCTAACTAGATGTTTTTTTTTTTTAAATCAAATATTTTGATACAATGCTAAATTGGTCACATACTGAGTATTGTCATTGCGTCTCTCCAGATCGAACAGGCCTGACGTCCGTGGAGAAGATCGAGAAGTGCCAGGAGATGTACCTCTTAGCGTTCGAACACTACATCAACTATCGCAAGCACAACATTCCTCATTTCTGGCCCAAGCTGCTGATGAAGGTGACTGACCTGCGCATGATCGGAGCCTGCCACGCCAGCCGCTTCCTGCACATGAAGGTGGAATGCCCCACTGAACTCTTCCCCCCACTTTTCCTGGAGGTCTTTGAGGATCAGGACGTGTGACGCCGCGGCAGGAGAATCAGGAACGTTTCATAACCAGTGTTTCTCTCCCCGTCTCACTCCCCGTCCGTGCACCAAACTCACCAGCAGCAGCTGCATTGGCAGGGGTCATCTTCAGAAAGGCTTTCATATGGGAAGGGGTGGTTAATTCAACAACTTTTTTGGGGGGGGTTTGGCTTTTTGGCAGAACACTCAGCCCTCCCTCATCCACTAAACTCCCCATGCGTGGCCCTTCTGTCTCGGCATGATGTCTTATACTGGTTTATCAACACCTTAGACAGAATATATATCTATACACACACACACACACGTATGTTATGAGGTGCAGTACCTATACGAGTCGAATTCTTCGATGAGCTTGTATGCATTTGTACACGTAGAGTCACGCCACCACTGAAGGTGCCCTCTTCTAAGACTGGATGGCAGCTGGCATGACCTCTACCAGGTCGTGAAGTGGTCAGTTGATTTCAGTCATCGAAATCTCAGCTTTTTTGTGAGATTAATCGCCGGTATCTTATGTTCTCACGCCGTAGCTGCGCCAGGCTCTGGGCTAATGTGGAGCTTCTTTAATAGACCTCATGATTCTCTTTGATATTGAGCCGGTGTGTGGAGCGGGAAGACATTTTTAAACCAAATCAGGTGCTATATTTAAATAAAGCTACTCAAAATGATTTGGGACCTTGCCCCCTCCCTTCACTGTAGGACACGTTCAAATGCTCTCGGTAGCCATTTGAGTGCTGATTCAGGGGTGCCTCTCACTGACTTTTCAAGAACTGACTTTGTTTTTGTTCTTGCCATTTTCTGGGCTTATTTGAGGGCTACTTTTCCCCCTCTTTGTCCCATGAAAGTCACACAGAGTTGGAAATGCAGCCGCCCCACACCTCCGATCCACGCTGATTTGTGTTTTACAGGTGTTGGGAGGGAGACAGTATTACCATACTCCCACACACACACACAAACGTACTAAAACACACACCTCAAAACTCGAATGCCTCATTTTACTGTATGCACTGCAGTGCTGTAGTTCTGGACTCCCATGCAGGGCTTTGAGAGTTCAGTCCAGCCCATCTGTGTTCCGCTCAGATGCTACTGTTGCCCGGTCTGTGCGAACACACGCGCACACTCCTAAAGGCCCATGGCGGATTGGCTGTTGTCGATGTTTTTTTTTCCTTGTGTTGTTTTAATTTTACCTCAAATGTGGGCACACCTTTGGCTGGCTGTGGCTCCATGACTGCCTCTGTGCGGACAGGTTTCTACCTCACCTCTGGACACAGGGCAGCTACCCTCAGCCACACACACCTACACACACTCGTACTCTCACACACTGACAGCCAGGAAATAAACAGTTTCTTCTCAGTTATGTTGAAATACCACTGTAGACAGGAGGGCCTGCCATTCCTCATCGTAGCCTCGTTAAAAAGAAGAAAAAAAATCTGTATGGGCTTTTTTTTATTTTCTTGTTTTTATTTTCATGTGGGACCAAGTGTCACTTTGATTTCCGTCACAACGGAAGCTAGTTTTCAACAGTCGGCGAACTAAACCGCACACACCGATGACTACGAAGAGGAGCCATGGAGAGAACTACAGATGAAGGACCCAAGGTGGCCAGGCTTCAACCAAATGGGTCTATCGCTGTTTCCTTTTCAATACCAAGCAGTAATTTGCAAAACGGAGCGAGGGTTCGGCTGGTTTCTTCAGCGTGGGGCAAGGGACGCCGCGAAGCTAGCTAGCACTTGAATGAGAGCACTTAGCTTTGAAAGAGCCAAATCTTCGGAGACGTTTCAAACCCTGGCACCTTTTACGTTTTTGCACTAAGGCATGATGGGTCCAGCCCTCCCGCTCCTCCAGCTCAGTTGCATGTTTTCCGTGGACATGCCCTCAACCTCTCTGTCAAACAGAGGCCACACCTCCATGTGCTCCTGAGCACACCCTCAGAGTCAGTATTAAGTCTAGCAATGTCTCGGTCTCGTTCTTTCTCAGTAACGATTGATGGAGCACTTACACATTCACAAATGGACCGTTGTCCGCACGTTCTCAAAGCCAGAAGTGGCATGAGATAAAGGAGTGGCTGAAGTCATGCAAAGAATGGCAGCACCGAATGAATGTGAATGTAGAGCAGCAGAAAGAAAGAGCCAGAATGAGGAGTCGCTCTTTAAGGAGGTTCCGAAGGAAGGCAGCCAATCAGAACGAGAGGAACTGTCAGCATTCCCGTAAAGGGCCGGAATGGAATTCTTGGAATACGAGCGATGCCGCAGCGGTTCCGATTGGTTGGTTGAGTGAGCACAGGGCTTTGATGCTGCTTTACCTTCTAATTTTATTTGAGAAAGGTATAAAAAAAAGATATATAAGAAAATAATTACAAACCCAGAAAACAAATAAAAAAAAATGACTCAAGAACAAAGAGTTCAAATCTCGGAGCTTGAGCTGTTCGTTTCTTTCTTTTTTTTGTTTTGTTTTTGAACTGAAATGTGTGTGTTCGTTTTCGATTCTTAACTGCTTTACGTAAGAGAGAAAAACAACAGCCGTAGTCACTTTTTGACCATGCGTGCAGTGTAAACTAGAGAAGTTCACCTCTTTTTTCACCTCACTATAGTTTGTAATGATAAGTCGACTGCTCTGTTTGTCTGTGTTTCTGTCCTTCATCTTTTTATCAAGAGGAATTTACAACAAGAAACAGGAATATTTTCTTTTTATATTTTTCGTTTTGTTTGTTTTTTTATGAAAGAAGACTTAGGAAAAAATGCAACAGAAACTGAGAAAAAAAAAAACTGAAACACAATCTACTCATACCTCACACAACACAAAGCTTAAATGAACTTGGGAGGAGAGCTTATCTGCGTGGCACTTGTGTCAAAGTGCGTCCAGTGCACGTGTTGAACTGTACGATGGGGTGTATGCGCGCTTGAGCGTTCATGTGATCGCGGAAGCACACGGCCCCCTCCTTCGGCCTCGAAAGCCCATCTGTTTCACATTTACACCAGTTGCATGCATTGGCGTCGCCTGCACTGATGCGACGGGATGGAATGGGAGTGTATGGGATGGGATGTGGAGTGGCTGAAAGGCTGGAAAGGGAGACGTGTGCATCTGTGACAACAGAGAGTGCTTCATGGTATTGAATGTAGCTGACAGAACTGGGCTGGAACCGAGCCCGGGAACTAGAACCTCACTTCAGGTCACCAGCAAGAGTGGACAGTGCTGTCAAAATGATGTTACACATACAGCTTACTGAGCGTATATATATATATTGCCCGCCCTTCAAGGTGCAATACTTGTGTTTTGTTTTGTTTCGTTTCGTTTTTCTTTTTTGTACTTTTACAAGTTTTTTGGCCATAACCAAGGATGTAAATACAAAACAAAAAGATATTGAAAGATTAAATCACTACGTGTTAACCATATGCAACCGCCACATACTGGATGTCCAGGCCAGAACACCGGCTGATCCAACCGTTTTTGTGAAAGAAAACTGCTTGCGTAGCTTTGTAAATGCTTCACACATCTGTATGTGTGCTTTTGTGCACTCGTAAACGTGCATGTTCAATACAAATATGAAGTGCCCCGTAAAATTACCAATCTAACCCTGTGCCTCGGCGACCCTCTGCCCCGCACTCAAACCGCTCTTTCTGACAGGGTAGCTAGACGTATGTTCGCTAGGTCAGATTTCTGGTTGAGACGTAGACGGGTATGGCCTGGTACCTAGAAGCACTTAACTGACCGCGCCACTGCCAATCAGATTCCTCAGAGGAGAACAGTACATACCGATTTTGTTTTACTCTGATGGTGGTGTAGTTTTATTTTCGCCCATTTCTTTTTTAACCAAATTTTGTGTCGTCTTCAGAGAAAGATGGAAACCTCCAGAAGTAAGAATGTCTATGCAATGCTTAACCCTCTGATGGCATGATGGCTGTCAGTGAGCCCTGATTAGAAAACACTTTCTAAACACTCCCACCCACCGCAACAGCATATGAGCCTCATTCGGTTTTTCTTGGAAGACCATAACTGCTGCCTGAGACCTGCTTTGTCAACCCTCACCAACACATGAGGGCGCTAGTTCAACTTTCCGCTGATCTCCGATGATGTCATCCACTGTCGAGAGACTGCGTTTGTGTTTCTGTGTATGTGTTTGCGTCAAATGCTCTCATGGTTCGGTGGATTGGTACGACCTGTTAGAAAGCAAAACGGCACTTCATATGTTCGAAATGAAAATGATCTGTATATTCACAATTTAGCTGGCTATCTTAAAGCTGAAGTGTAATTTTTTGGGTTAAAATACTTTATATCATTTCTATAAAATACTTTACACAGAAATAACTTATATAAACACTAAACACTGGCTGTGTTCCAATTCAAAGGCTGCATTCTTCGAAGGTCGCTGATCGTTGGTTAATTAAACAGCCTAGCCTACAGGAGACTGTTCTTGTCGTCTTGCAACTGTGATGCTGTTGACGAGCGGCAGTAATGTTACTGGACTTTTTGAAAAGTTTTAGGCCCCGTTTACACGAAGGGAAAGCGCAGATATTTCCCTGCGGATTGGCCTCTCGTTTACACGAAAACCCCGTTTGTATCACAGAAAACGATTATTTCTAAAAACTCCGGCCAAAGTGGAGATTTCTGAAAACGCCAGTTATGTGTTGTCGTGTAAACTGGGAGAAGTGGCGTTTTAGGTTCTCTCTTGTCGATTCTGAGGATTCTGATTGGCTTTCATGGCTTTATCCTTAACCCCTACACTGCCGCCAATAGGTTTGGCATAGTTATGATGGCGATCGACGGCGCATTTATGCGGGTGTGTGAACGATATTATTTTTTAAATCATTTTATTGTATCATTAGATGCATCCGATTAACTCTATTATACAAAGCCAATAGCAGAAGAGGGGAGTGTTTTGGAAACCGGCAGTTACTTTAAACAAACTAGTAGTGACGCAGAAATCGCACACTTCAGCTTTAACGTACTGAACTATAAACAGTATGCGAACCCCATCAAAACCGCACTATATTGGAATATTTGAGTTTGATTGGCTGCCCTCGGCACCGTGATGTCAAAGCCCTCGGTTTTGCTGTGTTTATTTTGAAGTTGAATGTGAGTATCTTGATTTGATTAGATTGTGACCATGTTCAAGTACTTATTTCCAGAATGCACCCAGCCATGAGAGTGTGAGCAGAGAGCGGGGATGATGTCCACACCACAGCTGTTTTAAATGAGACTGGAAAGGAAAGTTATTGAAGGATTCTCTCAGGTATCAATGAAATAAAAAAGACACAAAAAAAAGGAATATAACAAACTTTTTTTTTTAAATAAATGTTGAAAAATTCCAGCCATGCCTTTTGTTAGCTCATCATTCTTTGCTCTCTGAGTTGAAGGTGTGCTTTCAGTGTTCTTGTCTTGTGGTCTTCTCCTTATTGTTCATCTCTGTCACATACACACACATTTCTTGTGGCTGCTTCAAAGGGGCTCTCGAAAGGTGGTCATGAAAACCTGGTGAGAATACATGTGTGAATACATCATGCAGTGGAACCAGACCCAGTTAACCACGTCTGACTTAAAGGTGCACTCATTTTTCATTGTTATTATCAGAGTCATTTTTATTAATATTTCTGATTGCTGTAGTGTTCATGTCCTTTTGGATTCACACTCACTGTAAAAAAAAACTCAAAGTTTCTGCCTTACATTTTTAAGTACAGTCAACTTGGATGTTTAAGTCATTTCAACTTAAATTCCTTTAAACTGACTTTAAAAATGAGTTGAATCTTGTATACCATAAAATGTTGAAAAATTAGTTAAAGCAGTGTAGGAACATATTCATAACTCTTTGATCATATCTTTTTTTTTTACAGTGTAGTGATGTGGATACAATCATGCTAGTTTTTAAGAATGATAAAAGGTGGGTTAGCATTTACTGTAGCTGGTCATGTGATCTAAAAATGGCTGACTGAGGTGACTCACATTCAATATTTTTTTAAAGTGTTTTTATAAAAGTGCACCTTTAAAATATGTAAGCAAATTACAGGTACACGATACATTAGTGGAGTGCACTATCGGGGGAACAAGTCTCATCACATGCATGAAAGACTTCATGGAAAATTGTATAATGACAAAATAACCATATTTTTTTTTTGCTCCTGACACTCCAATGTTGGATTGGTCTTAGGCATTGAGTGTTTTCTGTGTGCATGCTTTTGTGCTGTCAATATGTGTCTGCTGGTGCGGGTAAGTGTGTGTGTGTGTGTGTGTACGTGTACTTACCATGTGGCTAGAATTGCTGGCAGATCCTTTGGACACGCTTTAAGGCTCTTTTGATGCGGTATAGAAGCAAATATTTACAAGTAATAGAACTTGAAGTTCTAGTACAAAAAGAACCTCCGCTCTCGGCTAAGCATATGGTGTCAGGTGGAGAATTGAAAGCAGGGAAATGAGGTCAATAATTTGTTTTAGGTCCATCTTTAAATAGAATCACTAATGATTTCCCTGTTGCTAATGGAGAACTATTCCACTATTAGAATATTTTGCTCTCTAACTCTTGCTCACATATGCACAACCAATTCATTAGTTGTCCTTTTTTTTTCAGAATTTTTGATTTTGTTGCACACGTTTGGGGATTTTGGGCGTACTGAAGGAGTGCGAAGTAATTGTAAACTAACTGGAAATTTATTCTAATTTATTTTGGCAGTTTAAAAAACTGTTTATTGAACATTATAAAATGTGCCTGGTACAGTTCAAAATAGCAATTATGAACAAGTTCCTATGGTGTAAAAACGTCTTAGTGCTGCCCTCTTCAGGTTGAACGGTGGCTACTGCAGTTGAATTTTCCTATTGGATGATCCGCACATCGTGACATACGCAGGTTTCATCTCACCACGCTCTTGGTACGAGCGGCAGTATAAAAAACAGCTTGTTTCGTCAAAACCACCGTAGCGAGTCAGGAGCTGGAATTGCGAGTATTGAAAACGATCCGGATAGAGTGTTTTAGCATCTATTTCGTGTCCTCCATCTCCGCTGGGGTCTGCCCACTTTTTCAGCATTTTTTAAATATTACCAGTGGGTGGAGTCAGGCTCTGACCAGGGGTTTAGACACCCTTTAAAGTAGTTTTTCAAGTCTAAAATGGTAGTGCCGTCATCCATGTTTCTTTTTGTCTCCGAGTAACATGTTTAGTTTGAACATTTTCTGTTTAGTCAGATTAAATAGGCTGCTGGAGAAGATTCTGTCAAGCCATTAAAGAAAACTATATGCAGAGACAGAAAGGAATGTTTGCACACAAATGAATTTAGCCAATCACTCAAAGTCATTTGTGATGCTAATATTATGCAAAGAAAGTTATCTCGGGATTCTTATGCAACGCTTGTCAGGTTTCACGATAGGTGCTTTTGGTTCAGTCATGCTCAGGTTTGCTTTAGGCAAACATAAAATAAAATATGTCCAACAGCTGAGATCTTATACAGAAGAGTTCATATATCAAGGCCGCCTCTTTCTTGCTGTTCAATCGACATTAACAGACCTACACACATCTGTTTTGCTGTCATGTTTCCCCTTAGCTCTCCACTGACCAGCTGCCAAAGCTTCCACATGCTCATTTCATTCAGCTTCTCTTACAGGATGTGCCTGATGAGGCATGAATCTAGTTCATGACAGAACTGAATGCTTTATAAGACAACTTAGCTTTAGTCACTATTAGACTGGATGGTGCTGTTAAAATAATATTGCAACATTATTAAGAATACCCTGGCTACTAGTAGGCAGTCTTATAGTCTTGTGCGATTGGTCTTTTGTAAAGATAT